TGCCTTCATTTTTTGTGAATAGTCTTCAAAAAAATACAAAATAAATAAGAGGAAAATATTTAAAACTTACAACAATAATCTTTATTCATTTTTATTGAAGTATAGTCGATATGCATCAATAGTATTTAACATGAGGAAGACTATCTTAAATATATGGCCAATTCACATATTGGCCACATTCAATTTAAACTGAATTAGAATAAAAATATCTTTTTAGAAGTAAACAAAAACAAAAAGGTCTTGAAAATGGACCAGCATTTGAAAATCAGAAGGAAAATTAATATCTTTCAAGACAATAAGTCATAAAATTTTGATGTAAATGCCTTTACATGTGATTTTATGATTAAATAGCTTTAAAGCATTTCATTCAGGATTCTTCCAAATTGGTCAACTGGGCAAATCATCTTGAAAACTTGGTAGCTTTAGGAATAATTTTCAAAATATTAAAATGTATATTTCACTAACAAATGAGCTATAACTATTAATGATCATATTTTTTTAATTTCTAAGATTTTGCTATGTCTAAATAATTTTTGACACTGATATTTTCAACAGCCCCAAAAATGGTAATAATCACAACCATTCTGTGAAAAATGTATTCATGCTAAACTATGATAAAAATAAAGATGGCTAATCAATTGGTGATGGAATATGAAAAAAATCTTCAAACATGAACATACTGGAGTAAATCTGTTTTCATGAATTGCATAGTTAATAATCACTGAGACAAGAACTCTCTGCTACATCAACTGAACTGTGTATAATACATAAAATTTTCATGTATTTAGAAACTATTCATCTCCAAATGTTTTCATATCATATACTGTTAATAAAAATGCCTTAAATTTATCTCAGTTACAGAATTATTCTTATTTCTGTTTCCATTGCTTTGAGATGTTTTCTGAGCAAACTAAAAAAAGGAACATAAAAAATATATTAAATCGTTGTAATATGGACATTTGTGTTTTCCATTAAGATCAAAGTATAAACCAGAAATAAAGAGCATAAGAAGAAAACATCAATACTTGAAAAGTAAATTAAGAATTCAAAACCAAATTATTAATAAATATTTAAGCCTATTAAGTAATGGTAGCTAAATTACAGTCATTTTGACACTATTCTTTCTCTCTGGAAAAAAAAATTCTTAAAGTTTATTTTTTCTCATTAGGTGAGAAAATGACTTTGGAAATAAATACCAAAATTTATGTAAAGAAAGACTTAAATGATAATAAACATCAATAAGTAGTTATTAGGGAACATTGCCCTTCTCCAAAAAGATCTAACTTTAAAACCATGTGACTCATCTAAACTATCATTAAATATTTAAGTTCTGTGAAAGTTTATAATATTTCAAAAGGTTGCAAGAGACCTATCCAGGTAATTTAAGTATGTTATCCCACAATCTAACTGTGAATGCAATTTTTTTAACTTATCAGTAACAATAAACTAAAAGAAGTATTAATTATTAGCACTTAACAAAATAATTATACTCAAACTGATGAAATCGCCTTAGAAGCAAAAGCAACCTAGACTTACAAATCTGCACTAACCATGTATGTATGTTCTTACTTCAATTGAGAGACAAATCTCTGCTTTGCACTGGATCCTCAAGTAAGAAATTCCTACAAATGTATCCTATTTACAAACTAAATCATCATCAAAATTGTCCAATTTTAATTATTAAATATTTTAAGGAACAACTCAAAAACAATAAGCTGTAACAAAATTCAAAAATACAGTATTTATATATTCTTGTAAGTTTTTAAAAATATTATTAAATGCTATCGTTTCCATATTAACGTGTGTCAGAATACATATATTTATTACCAATCCATAATCATATGATCATTTAAATCACAATTTAATATTAGGAAGTCAAACGAAGACTGTCATTTTTAAACCACCAATGGTCACATACCATCCTCAAATAGCAGAATCTCACTGCATTTATCAACAAGTCTAAAGATAAGAAGGGTACAGCACCTAAGGCATGTTTATTTTTTGAGAAATTGGTGACACTACAGAGATCAGAAGAAAGTGTGACTGTACTCTTGCCAACAAATTTTAAATAGAATTATGTTAACTATTAATGTACAGCTCTATTTTAAAATTACACATGCATATATTCTCTTCATTTCATAACAACTAAATTGTTCTTGATGTGCAATTCTTTGCAGTAGAGCTATTTTTTGCTATTCCTGTTTATTTTATGTATTTTATTTATTTATTTTTTGTTGAAGTATACATAGTCAATATTTTTTAAAGAAAAAAAAATCCTGGAAGCCACAGCATGAATTTTTAAACATTACATTAAACTAAAATGATTTTTTTATTTCCCCGAATACATACTACTAAATATGTTTCATAGTACTTAAAAAATATCTAGTGACACATGTACTTCTGAAGACTCAAAAAAAAAAAAAAAACCCCAAAACTATTCCATGTACTTAAAATAATGAGTAGATATCAGTCCAGTTGAACATTTAAAATTCCTAATTACCTACCATGCTTATTCTTTCATAACATAATAGTATATAGATAATGTGGGAAAAATCTAATTTGAGTCATATATTAAACATAGTATGCTTTCAAAAATTCTCATACAGTAAAAATGCCAGTAAAATAATAAGTTTAAAAGTATTTTTAAAACTTTTGTTAAATGGTCCTGAATTGTAACCTGATTGTGTAAGTGATGCTGACATGATACCTGCACACATCATTTATGACTATTTATTATTACCTGCAAATGCTTGGCTAAAATCTGTAGGATTCCTGCCTTGTTCAAAACAATTATTCATATGATTTATATGCAATTTATGTGAGTCCCAATATAAGAGAAACTCCTCCACCAAGGCATCAAAATCAAGAAGAAAAAAAAAACAACTGAAATCTACGTAATTTTTCCCTACGAAAAAAGTGAGATATATTTCAAAAAATGAATACTGTAGCCATCAAAAAAATTCCCTGAAGTATCACTTTCTAATTTTAATTTAAAGAATATCACTGCCCTGGTTTGTTACATCACAAAAATGCTAATACTTAAGTTTTATCAACTTTTTTACATACTTCTTCCTAAAAGTGTAAGAACACAAATATATACATTTTATGAGAATTTTTCTCATACATCATTTTAATACTGTTTTATTAGTAAATACATGATTTGTAACAGAAGATTAAAGCAAGCTTAATAGTAATAATCAACATTTGTACTCTAGAAACTGTTCACTACCTATAAATAAAACTTTTCCAGCAATATAGTATTTCATAATTCAGTGGATATACTTAAGTTTACCAACATATAACCATTAAATAGCTTAAATTTGGATGTCTTGTGGTTCTAAATATTAATACTGGTTAATAAAATGTCTAATATTTGAATGTATTAAAAGGTAAACACAGGAAAACAAATTATAACAAGGTGTGATCAAAGAAGAAAAGGGCTATTTTTTTTCATTCATCTATAAAACAAATTTATGAGATCATAAAGAACAATTTAACAACCTAAAGAAGGTTCAAAGTGGGGAAAGCCAGAGCCTGAGAGAAAATGGATTTGTCAATGATTTCAGTCATTCAGTATAGGGAGGAAAAAGGCAGAAAATGTAAGTTCATTTTGCAATATAAAGTAAGAGGCATAAAATCCAGTAGCCTGTCTATGGACTTCTATTTATATATTTAAACCCTGTTTCAATTCACAGATTATGCGGATCCTTCCACATGTAAACAGCCAATAATGATGGCCAGGCCCTTAGGAAAGGAAAACACACACCACACAGCAAGGTCAGGAAGCTACCAACCACCACAGGACAACAGATCAAAACAGAATGGTTTCATATGTTTCTATTGTTTATATACTTAATTTGAAGATGATATTCCTTGGGGAGTAAAGGGCGTTGTAAATATTACCAGGAACATGCAACACAGTATCAAATAAAATACACACTTTTCTTGCAAATATACTAAGTATTTCTTGCATGTATGTGTCAATCTGTAGTATTGAGAGCCATTCATTCAATTTTTTAAACTTAAATGTCAGGCCAAAATAAACCTCTTTGGTCTTAAATCCCTTTACTCCCAAGAATTCCTTACAGATAATTAACTTCTTTCAATGAAATAATCAAGCTCACAAACTGTAATTTTTTTTTTTTTTTTTTTTGCTATAGATTAAGCAATAGAGGAGTGAAAATGGAAGAGTAGTATTAGTTCACTTGTTTCCAGGTTAAAATTTTGAAAATAGTAAGCAATGACATTCTGTGTGGTATTTAAGCACCTTAAAAATTACAACACAATATAAGGAATGGTGGAAATTTACCCAAAATAGCCGACTAGAACATTTTAAACACAAACTAGAGCCACAGCTGGCCACATGTTTTTTGAGTTCAGTTTCTTAAAGAGACAGTATCCTTGGACCTATGCCCTACAAGGGAGCACATTTCTACAACGTTCGATTACCAAACATCTTCTCTTGGCATTTCTTCAAATCCACAGTTGGCCAACAGTGTTCTATTTTATTTTACTGTAAAATCAAATTATTTTTATTTGAATCTCCAAATAACTATCAGGGAGGCAGAAACGAAATAATAGGGGAAGCTACTGTGACTTAAGATATCTCAAGTAAGGATTTCCTATAATAGCAAATTTTTTTAAACTTAAAATGATCACTGTTTCTTCATTCATTTCCCCACTCATTCACTCAGCAAAGGCGACAGAGTATATTGTAACCCATAACACCGGAAGCTACACTACAGCAATTTCGCTGTCGAATGAAGAGGGGAACTTGCTAATAAAGTCACCAACCAGCACCCAAGCAGTGAAATTTCAAAGACTTCATTTTCTGTTTAGGAAAAGATACCCAGTAAGGGGCCCATACACATACCCTAAAAACCGGATTAACTCAGGATGGTAAGGAAGATTTTCTCTTTCAGTGTTCGTCCATTGACAAACCTACTGACCAACTCCTGCACATGGAAAAAAAGAAGAGGGGGGATAGAAGTTTGGCTTACTTGGTGTACAAACACATCGACTGGAATATCCAAGGGGCTTCCCTCTCGGTTTATCATGGAGATGAATCCAAATCCCATTCGCACATTGAACCACTTACAGTGGCCAGTTCCGTGCAAAACCTGGGATTCCTCCTCTGCCTGCTCCGGCAGCTTCCCGGGCTCTTCTCCACCACCTTTGCTTGCCCCGCCTGAGTAGAATAGGACAAAAAGAGTAAGTTAGTCTGGATTCCCAAACTGTTCGTTGAAAGAGAAAAAAACTGATTGGGGCGTGGGGGTAGGAAATAGAAAGAAACTCGAATAAATGGTTGATTCTTTTCTTGTACGGAAAATATTTAAAAAGAAAGGGTTAAAAGGGGGAAGCGTGGGGAGGAGGGAGCCACACTGTTCTATTGATCACATCAACTTCCACTTTTCTGTACATACGTGTACTTTTCCATTTAACTCCATTTTCCAGCCACATATTACAATACAGCATGCGATACTTTACTTGCATATTGCTGATTTAACACTGATCCCATTTACAAAGAGAAATTTTCAGCGGAACTATTCTCTCCTGAGGGCACGAGGAGGAAAGAGAAATCGTGAAGATGGTTAGAACTAGTTAATGCACATGCGGCAGCAGTGAATCCAGGGTTATTTGCAATGTGCATACCCCTCCCCCCCAATAACTTTCAATTAAAGTTGGGGTGGAATGGGGGAGGGGGCAGGTGTATAAAAGTTTTCTTGGGCTCACTAACTGAAACTGCGCTTAATCACACTCAAACAATTCAAACAATAGCCCACTGAAAGCTTTTCAAGTTGTGAATCAGTGTGGGCGGTACAAAACATTTTTGGAGATCTATAACAATAGGTTGCAGAAAGCCCCATTGCGCGATGGGGAGTGGGGGTAATGCCCCGTATTGGGGTAAAAGGGGAAGGGGGGACCGGGAAAGAAGGTTGGGAAAGGGGGAGGGGGGAGAGAAAGGAAGAGAGAAAATCACAGTAAAACAATAGAAAAGAAAATTAACCTTCGGCCATGTTGCCCCACGGGCCCTCTGCTCCAAACTCGTGAGATGAAAACTTTCCCTTTGGAACGGAGTGATCTTCTGCATCAATCTAACATCTTGATTTTGTGCGATCACAAATTTAGCTCGCATGGTCTAATGTGCTTTCCCTCTTTTGATTTTTTTCTCTTCTCTCTCCAGTTTCTGGCCCCCTGAGCCACGTGACTTTGTCAATTACATGCTTTCTTGCTACTAATTTCACCTCGGATCCTTAAGGGGCTGGCAAGAGGAAGAGATAACCAATCGCCATTTCATCTATGCTGACATCAAAATAATTTATGAATGAACATGAAAAACTCAAACATGTTATCTTAAAGACAATTTGGGACGCTTCTTTAGGATAAATCAGAATGCTGATTTCGTGCTTTTACTTAAACACAATGGAGGGAGTGTGAATCGTCTATTTAGAAAAACGGTAGTCATATATGTGCCCACGCGTGCCTTACACACAAGCCTGTCTAAATAATCTCATTTAGGGGGAAAAAGCCATTTAAATAAAGCAACCGATGTTACGCTCCCCCCCCCCAGGAAGTCAGCTGCTCCATAGTAGTAAATCTGCTTGGGGTGAAAATTTCATATTTAATTCAGTTCTTAGAGGAAAATATATAATTTACAAACGATCTAATTAAACCTAATTACATCTCCATGAAACTTTAGATAATAGTAGCATACACCTACAATAAGACGAAAGCACACAATTTCCTGATCGTGCCCCGAAATTTTTTCAAATTTAAAATAAGATCCTACCGGAAAAATCGCTAGCACCTTCATGCACTCAAATTATGTTTAGGTTTATCATTTCGGAACATTTTGAAGGGGGAATTGTACTTCACAGGTTTCTCCGCCATCTCTTTCCGGGGGAGGAGATGTGATTAATGACTTCCTAAATAACAGCCCAGTTTTCCAGCCTAACATAGAGTGAACCTCAATCAGTGGCGATTGTTCCCCAAGAGCAAGACGACGTAGGGCAGGGAGGGGGAGGGGAGCGCCAGGCAGGGGAGGTGAAGAGGAGCCGCCAGCACAGGCGGCTGCAGAGCCAGAGAAAGAGGTGGGGGAGAAAAAAAAGAAAAAAAAAAAGCGGTCGCGGGAGGGGGGAGGGGTGGGGGGAGGGGAAAAGAAAGAGGACAAGTGGGAGAAAAAAGGTAAATTCATATCACATTGATTGGACCCTGACATTTAAAAAGTCCACTACCAATGGATAGAAGAGTCAAATAAACGAAAATTTAATAACGGATTAGGCTCCTACCGTCCCTTCTCTGGCCTGGCCCCAGTTTCAAAATGCTTACCCTTTACCTTTCAAATTGATTCAAAGGATTGTTGATTACTAGATGCTCACGCCAATATTACCGCCCTCATTGACTACTACAATAAATATTATGGATCAACTAGAAATGCTTTACTTCCTTTAAGATATAAAATATAACCCGTCTTTGAAACATTAGAACGCCCCACCACTCCTTCCCCCACCCCACCCCCCATTTTCTTAAACAAGCAGTTTACGGAGAAACTGTACAGATACCACTTCCCTTCGGCAAAGCTACCGAGTTGACCCTCCCCCACCGTACCCGCAATCCCCCTCCCCGGCTCTTGAAACATGTCTACACTCCTAACTCTTAACACTGTTTCTCACAAACTAAAGGGTGGGGATTCTGGATCTAAAAGCTTTCGAAAACCCACAGAATGCACCTATTTACACCTCGTCCCCATATTAAATAACTAAATATAAATTCATACTAATTGGTTCAGAACTGAAATAAATGGGTGTGTGTAAATATGTTCTTTTCAGCTGTTTGTGGTAAAAGGCATCAATCAAGACTGATCAATTTGGAAAGATTTTTCATGTTTATTTCTTTTGTTGTTTCTCAGGAAAGGAGGCAAAGCTTTCTCATTTTATTTACTTTGGGGAGAATAACCATATTCCAGCTGGTAGGGAGGAAAGCAAAAGTGTAAAAATCCAAAGGATTTTGCAAGAGTAACAACAAAAGCGCTCAAAAAAATTATTTGCTAACAAAACAGTTTTAGGCATTGTTTTAATAGTAGAAATCAACTGATTACACTGACCTATAATGAAGTAACTTTAAGATGGCATTTCAGGTGAAACATTTCACATAATATGAAATAGAAAAAAACTAATTTAAAATAAGTTATATGTTTTTTATATCTTAAATGAATTACTTTTAAAAATCAACTTCTGATAAAAAAAATTAACATCTGAAAAAAATCAACATCTGGTAACAGAAAAATAATCTGAAAAGTATTCATGGAAATTGAGGGTAAGTGCTACTATTTATATGAAAGTAATTATCATAAAATTCACAGACCAGTATAGTCTAGTGTTGTCACCAACACACATTTATGGTAAACAATATTTTATCTGTAAGTTTATTTTTAATTAGAAAATAGTTTAATGATCATAAAATCAGAAACAATATGTAGGTGGATTCTGAAACCCTTGCTGATTATTAAATTTGATGAGATTCAAACCTATCAATCTATATATGAAAAGTGTGAAATACCGTAACTGAATCACATTGAATGGTATGGTTATGAGAGTCACAGCCTTGCCTGATTGGGGGCCTCCAGTATTAGTGGAATTAAGGTAGGGTTCACTGGACTGGTCACTGGTGTCAGAGGTTATCGACTCATTCATTTCCTGAGAGGGACATCAGCCTTTCAAGTTGTGTAGAAGGCTTTTTCCAACTGGGAACTCTGAGAAATCCTCTAACATTCATTCACAAAGAATTTAAGGCAAATCCGTGTACATACCTGGGGGTGGGGGAAAGACAGAGGGAGAGAAGGGAAGAAAAAAGAGGAGGAGGGGAGGAAATTGGGAAGGGAGAGCAGTGAAGGAAGGAGACACAGTGAGACAGAAAATATCACTCTTTCAGGGATAGGGTGCTGTCGTTTAAATAGATTCGTCTTTTCTGCCTACCTCCCCCACAATCTTTTGAGACTTAGAGCCTTTTATAAAACTGACCATAATCTCTTTAAGCTCTTAGAGTGCTTCTTTCACATAAAATAGTCCTATGAATCTCCTAGAATGCTTTCCAATTTGTCACCTTCCTGAAGTCTTCTGGTTTTAATTTTTTTCTCATTTCCTACTTGTTTTCAGTGCCAGAAAGACCTGTGCTTGACTCAAAACGCATGTTTTGTGAAAGCCAAATGTTTTAGTAGCTTAATTTATCATAGTTCTTTCAAAATGTTTCAAAAATGAGTTCAAGTAGTTACAAAGAATCATCAACACACTGGGGAGAAAAATTAAGGAATTAACCTATCATATGCCTGTTGCTCATCACAATCTAAGATTTCTTCATTTAAAAAAACGAAGTACACATTTTACTGGTCGTTTTCTTTCTTTCTCTCTTTCTTTCTTTCTTTTACTCTCTCTTTCTTTCTTTTTTTCAAAAACTCCAAGAGTACAATGCAAGGAACCGAAAAAGGTGCCAGAGCCACCGAAGTGGTTGTCAACTATAAGCAATGAATGACTTCTATTACAGCAGAAACAATGCTTCGGTTCTTCTTAAAACTAGGAGGAGGGGCCGTGGCACTGTGGCGAGCGACTCCACCCGCGCTCTCCCCTCCCGGCAAATAAGGCCGGGGTCTGCAGCCCCAGCGCTGCCTTCGCAGCCGCGAGTCTTCCCGCGCAGCTTGCGCCCCAGGGTCGCCAGGACCCCCAGGCCAGCAGATCCGCCCTTTCCCTCCACCTCCCGCCCCAGCAACGTCCTCTCCCCTTTCTCTCCCCAGTCACCTTTCCCTTTATTCATCACATCACCACAGCCTCTCCAGAAGTCAAACCGTTCCAAAGAAGGCTGGTGATTTCTCACTAATAAGGGGCTTTTAAATTTGTCGTTTTGTACCCAAGAACACCAAACAAAAGAAACCCTTGCCTTCACTATTATGAAGGCAACACTTGGCACAATCTACTACTTTTACTGCATTTCCAGATGTATAGCACTTATAATTTGGTCCCTTTATCTGTGAGATGTCAGTCTCCGCTTTCTAAGAGAAGTCAAGGGGGACGCTGAATCAGAACCCCAGAGACTGACCACCACCCCCACCCCCACTCCCCCACCAGGCTAAACCTAAAATGGAGCTGTCTTCAGACAGAACCCTGGCGCCGTCCTTTCGGGAAGCCAGGAAAACGTGGCAATGCGCCTTTGGAGGATCAGGAAAAGACTTATGCGGGGAAGGGGGTGGAGGGGCGGCTGGGGATGATTTTAGGGAACCAGCTCTGGAGCCCCGGGTGAGGTTTCCCGCCCAAAAGCAGCAGACCCACACGTCGGGCAAACTGTTCCCGATCCCTCCCACTCACTGTGTTTCAGCAAACTACTGGCAAATAACTTTTCTTGAAATTCTTACAATACGGAGTCAAATGAAAGAGTACTCGCCTGGGTGCGCTGGTCTTATAGTAGAGGCACTTCAGAATTGGGGGGGTATTTTGTTTTTGTTTCCAAAAAGCAAAATTCCGTTCTCAT